GAAGAATTTCTTTACTGTCTGAGCCCCCAAGGTCTGGAACAGCCTGCCATCAGAGGTGGTTCAAGTACCTACATTGAACACTTTCTAGAGTAAATTGGATGCTTATCTTGCTGGGATCCTATGACCCCAGCTGACTTCCTGCCCTTCAGGCGGAGGGCTGGACTCCATGATCTTCCAAGGTCCCTTCCAGCCCTAATGTCTATGAAATCTATGAAATCTTATGTAAACATTAATTTCCTCCTCCACAGCTGAAGAAGAAACTGATGTTTGATATCAGTTGTGTTGGCTAATGCTCTAGGACTGAGGAGGCAAGACACCATCCAGCTGTACAGTATATTAATCTCTGAACACTGCTACCTCTGCTGTAAGTGTTGGACTTGGGCTAAAGTAGTGACTTAAGCCTCCTGCTCCTCTGCCCAGGTGTGTAGCAAAGATCAGGCCCCAAAAGACTATCACAGGACCATTGAGCTATTAAGATATATAATTGTATCTAAGGCAATTAACAAGCCTTTTGATAAGATTTCTTATCCATGTTCTACACTTGAGACAGAAAGATTAAGAACAACATCCAATGATCTTCCAAGGTCCTTTCCAGCCTTACAATCTATGACTCTTTCAAGTTCTCCAGTAATTCTGGGCCCCTTTTCAAGGGTTCTAACATATATAGCTCCTGCTGGCTTTAGCTGGAGTTGTTTGCGCTCATTGATTTTGAAAAATAGGCCCGAGATATTTGAAGCTGAGCATCCTTTGAGCCTGCTTCTGAAATTTGTTATTCTTTGCAAGTTGCCCAGTGGTACACAATGAATCAACAGGAAAACTGGGATAGTTAGTAACCCTGACTCATAGGCGCTTTTAGTCCATTAGACTACACTGCCTTCAAAAATCTCTTTAACAATATGTCTCACATATTACAGTGTTATGTATTAAACATTATAAAAACATGCAAAATTAAGATCAATGTAGTATATGTGTAGACATACATTATGTCTTGCTATGTTTATATTTTAATGTAACTAAAATCTGCTTTTGTTCTTATGCACCATGGAGGAGACATGATTCCTGGCAGGATTTTGTCTTTGTACAGTATATGGCAAATAAATTATGTTTACTTATACCCCAAGAACCCTAAAGTGGATTTTACTGGAACCTTTATAGTTTCATAAGTAATAGATTTGTTCTGTTTGGCTGTTCTTTGAGAGTAACGAGGAAAGGAAGAGTATTCACATGAAAATCATACGATCTCTTTATATCCACAGCATCAAATGAAAATCTTTGTCCCTGTGTTGAAATTGAGTTAAAGCCAGATTGCATGAGGAGCGAATTATTAAATGGTGTATTTATTTCAAAGAATACTTTTTTTTTAAATTCTGCAACTTTATATGACTTCAATAAAATGTATAAAGGAAGGTATTAGATCTCCATATCTGGAATAAAAGTCACAATCCAGCAGAGCACTCGAGCACAGGCAAACTTTTAAATGTCTGAATAGGCACCTTGAAGTCAGATGGACAATTATTCTTTTTCTGCACTGAAGCCTCGTTGAATGTGCTTTGGGTATGCCCCAAATAATTTGTCATTAGCCATATGCTTTATTACTTCAGTTCAGAATTTAGAGTGTATGGGGCATATTCACTATTCAGATGGTGTAAATGGATTAAAAACCAGCAACTTCTTGTTAGGGATTCCCTACAGTCAGCAAGGAATGAGCAGAGCCAGCTCCTATGACCATCTCCCCAAGATAAATTTGCGTGGGGCCACTGAATGGCTAGAGGCTTCAGTAGAGGACATATCCACTCCCTGTGTGGGACTCCGTGTTTGGAGGGACTTTAAGATTTTGTTCTACCTGTAGACTAGTAATAGATCTTGGAGCCTCTTGGAGTCAGTCCAAGGCTGGGGTGGGGACTGAGTGCCCACATGCATGCATGTGCATGTCCCAGCCCAGCAGGTCAGTCTGTAGTGGTGGAAAGGGGAGGGGTTAGATTGAGGCCTCCGTGGTGAGGGACATTGCCGCAGAGGCAGGAGCAGTGGTAAATTGAGTGGGGCCCTGGCTGGGTGGGACTTACCTGCTGGGGAGGCATGCCCCCAATTCATTTTTTCTCCCTCTGCCTCAATCTGCCCCCACCCCTTCCTTCCCCACAGACTTACCTGGAGGGGGGCGACCGCAGCACACAGTAGATTGGGTTGCTTTTAAATGCCAAAGGTGATCTCCTACTTTAAAAGGTTGGAGACCACTGCTATAGACAAACCTATTTAGACCAATGTTCAATAGAAGTAGGGATGCCATGGAAGAGAGGGAGAAAAGGATTAAGTGTGTTGTGTTCCAACTAACAGTAATGCCATCATGGATATTTGCAGGATAGTAACGCTGCATCCATCAAAACCAACAAAAATAGGAATTTAAAGCAAACTATCCCAGAAAGGAAGGGATCTACACTTCACTCCCTGTTTGCCAAGTAATGACAGTAGCTTCATGCTCTGCTGTGTCACTCCCCTTTCAAATGACCAATCTGTCTCAGATCCAGTTGAGAACATTTTTTTTGGCTGTTTGAAAGTTCATGTGACTTGGCCAACCTTTAGACCTTGGATTTATTTACTGTTGATAAAAGTCATGGAATTACATTGCCTTTGTTTAAAGAACATATCCTACAGCTTGATAATTTGTCTTTCCTGGAGGCTGTCTTTTTTAATTATTATTTTTGTCGCACTGTCCATTAGATTTCTCCTTGTACAAACCCCTAAACTTCCCAAGTGCCATGGGAGAGATACTGATGTGGTTAACCACACTGAGTGGTACTCATCCTGTTAATGAGTTCTTGCTAATTTAAGGAAACATATCAGGATCTAACTTGATGTAAGATTTACACATGTTGACATCTTGCCATTCCAGATTAACATTTGAGCTGTTGTTTAAGTATACTAAACTAAAAAAATCCTGTCTTTCTATTATCTGATAACTTAGGTTTTAAGCAACAGTAATTAACTACAGATATGTCCCCTTTTGTATCATTTTACAGTCATTTCAATTGATGACCACATTGCCCTTGCCCAGTTCTGCAGAGACCATGAGATCAGACTTGTGGTGGTTGGCCCAGAGGTTCCCCTTGCTGCTGGTAAATTTCAAATAAAGTATTAATTTTATGAACACTTATTAATATATAATTCATTTATGGAATATTGTTTTTTAATTAATTGATCCCAACATGGTGGAGGAATGGATTACTGCAATTTCACTGTTGACAGTAGTTGTTTATTTATAGACTTTCTGTGAGAGATCGTTATCTAAATACCTTACAAACTTTTATGGATTTCTCCTCAAAATATTGGGGGATTTATGGTGGGGCTGTCATGAAGTAGTAACATTCTCATTTTCAGGTGGGGTTCTGAGCTAAAGAGTGAATCAAGGCATAAGTTTTAGAGGTGCTATAACTTCTGTTGAAGTCCATAGGATTTGTTGGCTTGGTCAGCATCTGTGCAAATCAGACTTAAAATAACTTGATCCAAGTCATACAGACAGTCAGGAAACCTGCACTGAAGAAAAATTGGGAACTTTCTTTCCTCCTTTTTTGCAAAACTGATTTCATTCGTATCTTAGAGGGCATGTCTACATGAGATGCTTAATACTCAGTAGCTTAATAACACTGTGCAGTAGCGTGCCGGGCAAAAACCATGCCAATGCTACTGCACAGCAATATTTCAGAAATGAATTATGAGTGCTACTGTGCAGTTAGTGTCACTAAAAAACTGTGCATCAGCACTACTGCCCAGTAATTGTAGTTACTATGCATTTAGTTAGTACTTACTTAATGAAGTTCTAAGGTAAATGCACAGTAACTACTGCACATTAATGAATGTGTAGACATGCCCAGTAAGAAGTATTTCTAAGCTGCCACAATATTAGATTCGATATTCTTCCAATTGGAAGTCAATAGCAAATCTCTTGATGTCTTCAGTGAGTGGAGATTATAACAATTTTCCCTATTAAATTCAAGGTCATGTGATGAGATAAATGTTTCTGAAGTTTCTTATGTGGGTAACATAAGATTTGTCATGTCCTTAACTATATGTTTGTGAAACCCAGGCACTTAACATTATGCATCTCAATTGTTGCTAACTTTTTAAATTGAACTTTAGTTAGTCTGGGGCTTTTTTAACTGTGGTCTGGGAGTTCATACCTTAAGGTTCTTGTAAGTCTAAAGTTTTGATCCTCTCACATGCTCAGAAACTTCCAACTTGTGTAGAAACAACCCTTTTGGTAGAGGGCAGTAATAAAGGAAAAAAGGAATTTAATCTCTTGAAGTGTTGCACCATGTGACTCTGGTTCTTAGATTCAGACAACTTGTTCTCAAGACAGATTCTCAAGTCCAAATTGCCACCTGACAATTATAGCTAACAGAGCTGCTAAGGCCCATCTGGTCAATGCCCACAGTTCCCAAGATGCATCAGACAGACTGTACAACATTTGTGGCTGAAGTACAAGTCAAAAGCAGAGCAATTTTATAATGTTTTTGTACTGTATTACTGTAATGTTTTTAAAACCACCTAAATAGACCAAATAATTTATATGTGCTTTTGATAGGAATTGTTGATGACCTGACAGCAGCTGGAGTAAGATGCTTTGGTCCAACAGCAAAGGCAGCTCAGCTAGAGTCCAGTAAAAGCTTTTCCAAAGCTTTTCTGGATAGGCATGGGATCCCAACTGCACGATGGAAAGCCTTCACCAGTCCTAAAGAAGCATGCAGCTTTATTACCAAGTAAAATACCTTTCACAGTTAGAAGTCTTTTCTTATTATAATATTGTGTGTATAGTATGCTTGCTACTGAGAATTGGCAACCTAACTGTCATTCATTCACAATGTCCAGATATTAAAAAGGTGCTCTAAAATAACTCTGCAAAAATACCATCGATAAGAGCTTTACGTTTATCGCTCCTCAGTTAAGTCAACTGATTTCAGTTTACAAAGAAAAAGGTGGTTTTTCTAATTGCCAGCCATGCAGTGATCATATTAGATTCTTTCCAGTTCATGTCTTATAGCCAGTAATGCAAATTCTGCAACCAAAGTTTACTTAACAATTCTGTTGATGATCAGCTTGTTCATCCTACAGCAGTAATGGTACTACTATGAAAACAGCAGTAAAATGTTCTTCCTCCTGAAAAGTAATGAGCTACCATCATGTGGAAAAAATCATGCATTGGACTAAGGTAATGGGAGAAGGGATTCAGTTGTGTGTACTTTATTCAAATAATGTTTAATATTAAATTGTGGCTGTGATAATAAGTATTTGACCTTTGATTCTCCATCTTCAAAATCCATACAAAGGGTAGGAGTTGGCATTGAAATTGTATCGTGCTGACAGTTTATAATAACCATTTTTTTTCCAGTGCAGACTTTCCTGCCCTGGTTGTAAAAGCTAGTGGCCTGGCTGCTGGCAAAGGGGTAATTGTGGCTTCTAACAAAGAGGAGGCTTGCAAAGCTGTACATGAAATCATGCAGGTGAGTTGCAAAGTTGTATAAAGACTTCAAACTTTTTTATGCCAAATGAGTGTGTTTCTTCCTACACTTGGCAAAACCTCTACAGTGTTCCTTTTTTTTTTTTTTTTTTTTTGCAGTATTTATTAGGCTAGCATAATAAACCATATTCCTTTTAAAAAACGTGCATGCTATTTGAGTGTCTGTGAATGTGTATAATATGTATTCCTCCAGGAAATTCTTCCTAGTCACAGTTTGTACAGGCTTGAATAATATCCTGATCCTGTGCTTACTTGCTTCCTTCTGAGTTTACTTTTTCTCCATACCTCTGAATCCCTGTGATTTAAAATCCAGTAAGACTAGAGTTGCAATTTCTGTAATTGTTTTATTCAAGGGCATGCTGAGGAAACAGACCAGAGTCACTAAGATATCTTTGCTTCCTTTTAAGGAACCAGGAAAAGGGACATGTCTCCCCCTAAGTAGTCATGGATGCAGAGTTAAGTCCTCAAATGGTGTCAATAAGCAAAGCTCAATCAAATTCAGTAGAGTTATACAAATTTACACTATCTAATTCTCCAAACAAAGTTCTATTCAGTGAAGTCTGAGACCCATTAATGTGTCTTGGCAATGCACTATTATGTTTGTACTGCTGCATAAATACATGTCTGTATGGAAACATTGAAAGGGAATACTGCAGAGTGTTCTATATAGATGCCTTTTCTGACAGTTGGCTTTCTCTTCTCAAAAGCTGAAAATTGTTGATCTAGTCTGAAGTAGTACCGGTTCAGAACTTCAAAAGAAATGTAAAGCATAGTTAATAAATAACTTCACATGTCTGTTGATTTTTTTATTTATTTTTTGTTCATTTTATAAACACTAATGAAAATGTCTGTATTAATGGAAAGCTACTTCAAATTGAGGAAAGGAGCAAACTCTGGCATTGCCATGGTCTGATGTAGAGAGGATGGACACAGATTTTAAATCATTTTGTGTTTACTGGATTGGGAGGATTACAGGTGTCTGAATGTCATGTTAAAATTACTAAACAAAACATAGGAGAGCCAAAGATATAATTTTTGCTTTGTTTTTGTAGGATAAGACATTTGGAGCTGCTGGGGAAACTGTTGTTGTTGAAGAACTTCTTGAAGGAGAAGAAGTTTCGGTAAGTATATGCGTGATCCTTTTAAGAGTTTAGTTATAATTTACTGAAGGAGCATTTAAGGAACTATAAGCATCTGCATCCTGTGCTTCAAAATAGTGGCATTGAACTAACGATCGTTCAATGAGCTTTAGTTAAAGTGCCCTCGCCATCATTTTGAAGCATGGGGATGCTGAATACACGTGATGCAGAAGCTGTTGGAGCATGATAATTAGCACACTCCTGCAGCCTTGCAGCAGACTTAATTAATCTAATTAGCACACAGGTGGAGCAGATCTCCATCATGTATAGATGCTCTTAGATACCAATTTTCTCAGGTGATGCTGCACAGGTAGCAGTAAGGGCTAACATGGATAAAAATACAGTTTTAAAAATTGAAAACAAATCAGATTTTACTATCAAATAAGCTTATAACAATGAACTAATTTAAATTTGAAATTATAACAGTCTACATCTCTGAATCTCAATTGGCATGGCTTTGGAGCAACTAGCCCTTAAAATTGAGAACTGTTACATTTCCACATAACTAATGTAAATGAGAATAAAGGTTGAGAATCTGGAAAGATGGCATGGCGATTTGATGCACTACATCACAGAACATATGGGAATTGTCTTGGGTTTCTTGTTCTGAGAACTGAAGTGAACTTATGTTAGATAAGGTACACATTAGCTTTGGAGTTGGTTTTATAAGCATGTATAAACAGAAGACAATTAAAGTATTACCAGTAACTTCGGGGGAAGTTAGGTTCTTTAGTGGAAGGACAGAGTGGAGGGAAGGGAATAAAAGTTGCTTAAGATCCTAAACGACTAAGAAGAATCACACCAGAGAGAGTTTTCATTTACCAATGAAAGTTTTTATTCCAACAGTAATAAGCAGGTAAGTTGGTGTCACTCACTATTGCCAGTCATACCAAATTCCACATCAGTTTCCTGACCTGTATGAAGAATTACAGATATCAGACATCTTGTTTAGCTTGACTTTATCTAAAATGAAAAGGGGTTCAGATTGACAATTCTATTAAGTGTGTGCAATGCTCTTAACTAGCCACAAGGACATGAGAGGATTTCCTGTGATTAGGGACCTACTTAAATCATGGTAAGACAAAGGGTTTTTTATAGCCTGCTTCTGGCGTGCAAAGCCCATTTCACAGGCATTTTATGGTGGCTTCACCCCTCACTGCTGATTAGCGGAGAGGCCCTGCCTCATGATTTTGATTGGTGAAGAGGCCCTGGGGAGGAAGGACAAGGGGGTAGCTGCCATCTTGATTACTGGTTGTCCTTTGTGCTGCCCCACCCATCAGTGATGACTGGCAGAGTCCCTAGAAAGGGAAGGAGGGATGAGGGGACAGCCACTATCTTGTCTGCTGCCTTTTGTGTCCCCCCACCAGC